TGGATTTGTTCTATATACTTCCCAAGAGAAAAGCAAGTGGAACTCACTTTGAAAGCAGAGCATTCACTTTGGAGAACTAAAAAGTGAAGAAATTACTGACTGATCCTCAGAAAGAGGGAGCTGGAAATTGTACAATATTTGAGGCTTGCTATCAATGGATATTTAAAGGGACCAGATTTCTAGCTATCCATTCCTGAAACTCTCCTCCCAAATTTCAAGCATTGTACACTAACACTGGGGGTTTTAATTGTTTTTAAGTAAAACCCTTAAATTTGTTCTTTAAAGCACTCTTCTATCTGAGGATTTACAGAAGCCTTCAGGAAGATGAAGGTCATTATTCTCATCTTACAAGTGGGAAAAGCACAACAGGAGTGGGGGTAATGATTTGCCCACACCCAGAAGCAGGTTAATGCTGAAGCAAGAAAAAGAATCTCAGTTTCCATGTTTTCAGGCCACTGGTTTATCCTCTATGTCCCCCTACCTTATAGTTATCAAGCACGTCTTGTTTATAGTGAAGAAATTAAACGCGAAGAATAAAACAATCAGTATTAAATAATTAACATCTCTCTCTTTCAATCCTGTGTTTTGTAGATGATGACAGGGAGACAGATGTGTTTATAATGTTCAATCTGTTGAACCTGAAAATAGAGTGTAAACTGCTTAACCTAAATATAGACATCAACTCACGGAGTTGCCATCGTATTCAGAGTATCTGCCATGCAGCACTAGAAAAGACTTTGTAAAGCAAAATTCTGCTGAATGTGCTCATAAATATTAGAATATTCTTGATATGCTATGCTGAAAACATTCAATCTGAGCTGCGAGCAACTAGCGTTGCATATCAATTTTTCAAAAACGCTAGGAATTGCATCCAGAGGTACTACCAGCAATACAAAGTGGCAAGATACTGAAACTGGCATTACAACGCCTTACGCAATTATTTTGGGTCAAAGTATCCTATTGTACATAAATTCACATAATGAAGTTCAGTACAAAGCAAACTAACAATGGACTTGGCACAGAGAAACAGATCAGCAGCTGCATTGGGAGTTCAATGGAGAAAACTATTTTAATGCTCAATGTGTACATAAAATTGTCTTTGAAACTTGCTGAAAAATGCAAATAATATACATTAAAATTAAAATTTCTTAAAAGAAAATTCAAGCTTGCTTAAAATATTAACTGATTCCAGAATCGAGGGGTTTTAAGAGCTGTGATTAGCTGATGAGAGGTGGTTTAGACAGATGATATAGCAGCTATGATGGCATTAAATCATTATTGCCTTGCTTTCTTTTTTCCCCACACTGTCAGTTATAGTTCATACACAACTTCAAATACACTTTTTATAAAAATCTTTTGGAGATACATTAAGTCAGCAAATGACAGAAAACTTGTCTTGCTCTGTGGCAGGAGGAAAAATGGAGCATATTATCATAATGCAGAGCAATGCAGGCATCACACAATACAAACAATGCTAAACAGTATCATTTAAAGAAAACACAAAGCAGTCATTGATTTTTAATATCTGCATTAAAGGTCTCCATTCTAAGTAATTACATTTTGTAGGAAATACCTTTAAATGATGCCGTGCCTATTTACAAGGAATTAGGAGAGTATTATACAAACAAGTGCAGGAAAAACCATTTTGCTGTGACCGTTTTTTCAAATACAATTCCTCCCCTGATATTTAAACCAGCCATTACTACAACTGCTACAAAGAATACTGGTTAAAAAAAGGGGTTTGGTTTGTTTGTATTTTAAAAACAAATCTTTAGAGATTTTCTTCCCTTCCCTTTAGGGTGAAAATTGGCCAAAGTCTCTCAATTTTTTGGCATTTCAAAAGCCTGCTTCCACAAAAACCTACCCACCTGAGTGCTCAGTCTGGAGACCAGGTGAGAGACAGGCAGAGGGTTTTCAGAAGAGGGGAGCGAGCACATATGCCACACAATATCCACATGCCAAAGGAAAAGACTATTTCTGGACCTAGGGAAACTGCTGGCAAGGTCTGCCTACGGATGCAAACTTTATTCGTGGACCAAGCAGCTGTCAGGCAAGATGAAGCAGATGACGATGTTCTCTAACCAGCCTTCATCTCTAGGGTGAAGCCTGGCTGAACACCTGGGGCAGTACAAAGATTCCCGTGAAGTGTCTTGCTTCCTCATGAAAATGACTGTCCTGTCCCAGGGAAGAGTTTCCTTTTAACTGCACCAGCGGTCCATCAAGTCATGTGGATATTTCAGCAGTTTCCATGTACTGCTGAAGATGGCAACGCTTGTGGTTTTGTAGGGCAAAGTCTGATGAGCTCAAGAGAACACCATCGGAGGCAGGGCAAGAGAGGAGGGCAATGCCCCTCACAAAATGGGAGCTAGATGGTTAGAAGGGAAAACCTCCTTGCAAGATCAAATGTACACCCTCACAAGTTTCCCTAGCAGTCGGTTTTGAACCCTGCTTGCTCTGCCTCAGCATTTGAACAAGCCCTCAATAACACAACAATCCCTGCTTTGCAGCAGGTGTCCAGTGGCGCCTGCAAAGTAGCTCCGGGATACAAGGCAGTACATGGACCTCTACTTTGCAGATCTTCCAGCTCTACAACACCACTTGGAGGATAACTACATGGAAGTCCACTGTCAACACTAGTCCACTGAGTATACAGAGTGACTTCCACCTTGACCAGGTACCTCAAATCACTTCCCAAAGCTGCCAGCCAACGGCCTGCATTTGACCTCCTACATTTATACTCTGATACACTCTACATCTCAAACTTTTAATTAAAAGAAGAGAAAAAAAGTTCATCCAAATCAATTCAAATGTACCATTTCTCCCTGTTACTGTAGAATGCAGAGGCCATCATCATATTGCATTATTACATTGAGGAATTATCTAGCATGAAGTCCTGTAAATTAGCTTAAATAGCTTGTGTGTTTTCATCCGTAACAGCGTATTTCATAAAGATATACCACTGCTTTTCTGTGTACAAGGCTCTAAATTGAACAGGCGCATTACATCTATTTTATATGAACTTTAATGAGAAGAGGCTGATATGAGCCCCCCTCCGTCTATCTACAAAGTTTAATCATTATGCCACAGAAGGGAAAAAAAAAAAAAAGAAATCTTATTTGGTGGTTGCACATTAGGCCCTGATGCTTTAGATTGCCTTTTTTGAGGAATGCACCATATTGCTGGCATTTCTATTCAAAACAAGCTTGTGTGTTACAGAAAAGGGTTCAACATTTACAGTGACATATATATATATGAACAGCACAGACAGAAAACTCTAAAATATAATTTACAACTCAATATAAGGAATCATCCATTTTAAAAGAAACAGTAACTGCATGAAAAGAACAACCCAATCCCTACATTTTTACCAAAAAATATTAGTTTAGGATATTTTATATCAAACCCCAAATACCTTAAGTACTTTTATGTCCTGATAGTGGATCACATTTCCAAGAAAAACACCATAATGCACCTACATGCTATAAACAAGTAAGAATTCTTCTTGAACCTATGCTGCATGCTGAGTTCTTTACAAAAAATAAAGTAAGAGACAGAGCTCCATCAGTTTTGTTTCGGATCATTGGTGAATGCATACGTAATGACTTTCACCTTTTGAAACCTCTCCACTTCATTCTTATGCATAGACTTGAAGGGACATTTATGTGTTTGGTTTGTTGCATCAATTCAGAGGAGAGAGTTACTGTAAAAATTTACATTACTGCAGGCTTGTAGTGATGAAGTAGGCAAGCACAAGAAATAAGCTTTTATTGCATTTATTTTAGATTTGATGGAAACAAAAAGTGTAGTCATTTGGTATGACAATAGCCACCATGAAATTTGAATTATTGATTAAATTACATTTTATTTAAGCAGATTATCTTTTTTTAAAAGTTGAAATTTCAAGATAAATCACAAATTTGACCTATCCATCCAGATGGTGTTTCTCCTGAATTGATGATGTATTTCAATTTGCTGTACCCACTTTAGTTTATAGTTGTGACATACGTAATGCACCAAGGACACTCACTGAAACTGAAATTAACTGTGAGTAAAGCAGTATTTTATATACTACTACCCACACCAAACTCTTTATTAAAAATGGGAAAAAACCAATTTTTGTTTCTCCTATAATGCATAAACTTGTGTCTATAACAAAGACGGCATTTTGTTTAAAATGTATTTACAGAATTCTTTAATAAATATTTTTTAAAATCTCAATCACTTAGTTTCACTGTAACTTCCAATTATTCTGTTGAGGGTCTTGTAATCATGGGTGAATCAATCCTCTGGTGCAGATAGTAAGGTGAAAGTCAGATAAGAACTAAGCCATGCTAATTTTCAACTAAGGATACAGCTCAGTCAGCTTGAGTAGACCTCTGAGTTTTTCCCCCACTCTTGCCAACAGGTTTTTTCCCCGTCTTTTTGAGGCACAGCCTGAATTAATTTTGGGCTGGAAGAGTTCCCTGAACCTCCATGTAGGTGGGGAAAAATTTAAAAAAAAAAAAATAGCTGTTGTTCGGCCAAAAAAAAAAAAAAAAAAAAAAAGAGGACAGCACAGTGCAGGGATAGATTTAGATGGCTGAAAATACTATGGATGACTTTGATTTGAACTGCACCATGTGTTTCCAATGATTAATCTAAGTTTCAAACCTCTAAATTCCCAGACATGACACTGTTTCTTGTATGCAATGCTACTCCCATTCATGTGATTTTTCTTGGTTTATTTTTCACCTCTGTTATTCCAAAACACTCAAAACAGAAAACCACTCAGTCCCAAAATCAATTTTGAATGTATATTCTGGGTTCTTATTATTGGGTTTTGTTAGTTTTTAATCTTTTTATGAAGTTATTCAAAGCTGGTAAACCTTTTTATTTTCCTTGGTAAAACTACTGTATAACTAAAGATACTAAACCAGGCTATAATATATTTGATTTAAGACTGCAAGTATTTGCCTGCAATACCAATTATAAATAACAGGAATTAAAATAATTGTCAATACCTGTGGTTAAAGGCAGATGAGTGACACTAGTTAGACAGGTGAGAGTGAACCAGGTTGATGCCAATGTTGCTCCAGATAAAAGCAGCAGCAGTATAAACTTCAGCATGCCCCTGATAAAATCTGCAAATCTAAAATAAAAGCACAGATGAGAGCAGTACAAATGCTGATTTTCATATTATTTAAATGTGATGCTTGACAACTAATTCACTATATTCTCATTAAACATTTTGGAGACTATAAAAACAATTTTAAAATCGTTTCTCATTTTCAGAAATAGAAAAAAAGGCATTTTTATAGAATGGTGATATTTCTAGCTGTCAAGCTGAAGAGCCATGAATTTTTTTAGCTGTCACAAAACAACAACCAAACCAGAACAATTCTCAAGGCATCAACTGAAAACCCTTGGTATACAGGAAGTTTTTTTTCCTTCTTTTCTTCTGCATTTGTTGGACACAACATCACACCACTAGTTACATCGCTGTTTTGTCAGCATTTGCAAGTCTCCCTTGGCAGACACATCGCTCAATTAGCATATGAGGAGGCTGCTGAATTTCATTCAAGACGTAGTTAAGTGTCAAGAATCATTCCAGTGGGAAATGACAAAACTCCAAATACCAGAATCCCTAGATTGAAGATGACAAGGAACAGCTTCTGAACCCTTGGATGCATTGGCGATGAAGCTCTCAGTGGCTTAGGCAAAGGAGGAACTCTTTACACAGGCAGTTACTACCGGTGGCTGTTTGGGGTTGAAATGTTCCAGAAACCAAGAGCTTGGTGCCACTCCTCTCCTACACATGCCCCACTGACAATCTGGGGGAGGACACAAATCCTTGGGCACTCTGGCTGTTACACAGAGGGTAATATGATCTTTATACCACCTGATGGTACAATTGCTTTTTTAATCTTTTTTTTTTTCTTTTTTCTTTCAAGGAGACCTAATGCATTTGAGCAGTGCTCACATGGCATAATTATCAGTGCAACTGCTCTTTTCAAAAGGGATTTCAATGCAGCTACTAAAAAAAAAAAAAGTATTAGAAAAGGCAATGCCGTTTATCCACTAGTAATTTTCTATAATCTCGTGCTTAGGAGATGTGATTTTGGGCTGGACGGGTTAGTTATGTATGCCTAAAGAATGTCTTCTGCCCTCACAGCCTCCTACCTTGATAAGGCTAACAGCAGCACAATCCACCTAGGATGGTCCATGATGAAATTTGTCCCGTCTGTCAGCTAACTGCCTCCTCTCCCCTAGTAAAGATCACTGGCAGATACTGTATAACTTACTTGATAGAACAGATAATGCTACCAACATTTTGAGAACTAGGAAGCCTACATACACCATAAGAGATGTACAAGTAATGCAATCAAAAAAAAACCAAACCCACTTTCCTCTTATTTTGATTCTCCCTGTGCTTTAATTTCACATTGAATTTAGCAGTGAGTAATTCGATAAGCAGTAGAGGAAGATCAATGCTGCATATAATCTTAAAAGTTTATGACTGCTGTGTTCAAGTGGCTTATGCATTAATCTCTAATAGTCAGAGGTTAGCTGCTACCATTGTTTTTTTCTGACAATCCAAATCCAGCAATCAGGATCACCTCTTCTCAGTGGTTTGCCAGTTTCTTTAATTATTCTTTGGGATCACTAGGGTCAAAATCAGCAATTTTAAAAGCCTCTCAGAAGCATCTCGAAGCACAAACTTTAGACTTCTTCCCCATAGACTCCCTACTTTGCCTCCCAGCAAACATAACTATTCCCTCTCCTTACAGGCAAGAGCAGTTACGTATATCCTGTCTAATGAAACAGTGTGAGAAACACCAGCTTTCAGGGAGGGACATTCACAGACAACAGGTCTGAAAGTGTTCTCTAGGGGGTCCTCCATCTCTATCCTATCACCAGAGATATGTGGTGATGGGAAGACGATAACTATCTTGAATGGTTTAGATGTGTAAGCGGAGCAAATACCTGCCTTTACTGAGCAGTTGCAACTCCTTTTGACGCAAAGATCCTGGTTTGGGTATCAGTTGTAGCAGTGTGCTCCAAGGAGCTCTCAGATATCACAGGACTCCAGAAAGGTCAAATACAAACTGAAAGGTTTGTACAGCTACTGAATTCAGCCAGCAACAGAAATAATGGGAAAAAAATGACATAGCAAACTAGCCTGAACTTGGTAATCGAGGGACTTCCGCTTCTTGTCTGGCTATAGAAGAATAAAGATGACTGTAAACTAGTCAACTCTTCAGAATACTTGTTTCAATAAAAAAATGAAATTATTTTTATCCTCTGACCCCAGGATCTGCTTTCAAAAACCTTCTGTTCTGTTTAAATCCTCCTTCATCATCTAGCATGTAAGGGGATGTCTGCAGCTGTTAAAAAAGGAGACCTGCCTGGAGAGAAGGTGCATACTTACCCAGACACAGACCTCTGCTGCTGGTAACAGTCGCCTGCAATCCAGCAAATCCAGCCCTAGGCTGGATCCTACAGTTAAAATCACAAACCTGCGTTGCTGACAACAACACTGTCTGTTGCTAAGGAAATTATCACCATGTCATGAAGTTTCAGCATTTTGACTACACTGCAGGTTAAAAGCAGGAAGAAAAAATGAGCTGTGGAGGACAAAACCTCAGAAATATCTGTGATCATTAGCAAATGTGGCAAAAGAAAAATAAATCTGAGAAAAGGGAATAGATTTATGTTTCCATGCAATGATATGAAAGTCGCTCTTTGACACTGCTTTTCTTCAAACCAGTATCATTTGAAAGCTGCCAGCAAAGGGTACGGCACCTGCCAGCTGCCCAAAATAGCCCAGGCTTTTCAATTATAAAAATGCATCACACAAATTAGCTAAACATAGCTAATGTTCATGGCTATTGGGACAGCAGTGGGTGGAAAGCGGGAGGATTTATGTATTGTGCTGAGGAAAACTTGCACCATTTTGAAAATGAGATAGATAAACTAATTTCTAAACTGGGCATTACTTTAAATATAGATGATTTAACCATCTACAGTGACATGCAGGACCAAATGCTCCAGGACAAGGCTCAGGTTGTTACAGTTCTAAATAGTTGAACCTGCATTGACAAAAATGGAAAGAGCAAATTCCGAAACTGCACTGATTTTTCTTTGATAAATTAGCAGAAAGAAAAATTAGAAAAAAACCCACCCCAAACCAACAACTTCTTGAGAGGTGATTAGGGGAGACAGCTGCTTGCTTGGCAAATCACAGTTCTGACACTGAAATACATCAACTTGTCACCCTTGACAAGAATCATTAGTTAATTTTCCTAATTACAACTTTCAGCAGATTACAGTCAGACTCGTCATTGATTCAACCCTACACAGATAAATGCTGAATAGGCCTAAGAGGGAGAGTCATCCGTCAGGAGTGACAAATCACCTCCTCCTTCCCTTTCTGTGTGCAAACCCTCCCATTTGAACTGTGTATCGCCCAAGTTAGAAAGACATATTTGGAGGCAGACTGTTGGTATTTTTTTTAAATTTACTGAAAAACGAAGCTCTGAATGCTACAAAATACTGGTATTCAACAAGGTTTGAAATCAATTTTGAAGCAGTTAAAGAGACTGTCAGCATTTCCTTAAAGTTATCCCAGGCAATATATTAAATAAATTAATCTACCATAAAGATTGATATTTGCATGTTGGCGTTGAGTCAGCAGATTCTCTTCTAACAAAGTTAAGTGAGCTGCTAAGGGTGCCCCTCTGCTATTGAAATGTTTCAAATATATCAGAGATTAAGTCAAGATGGAAAAGATTGAACTGGCATGCTACCTGCTTCAGCATGTAACCTGCTACAGCATGTGTTATTTACAGCAGTGGGTTTTAAACATCTATGCTTGCAGAGAAAACCTTGTATCTGAGCTTAGCTAATCAAAAGCAACTCTTTTTAGAGGAAATCAGGGTGTGAACTTTGTTTCACTAGATTAAGTCTTTGGCCTGCATCTGGAGTGGATGGGAGGCAAGCACTCGTTTCTTTTCCCTAGGTCAGGAGTTTTTTCCTCTCCCTCCATTGCAGTTGCTAGGCAGCCTGCAAAATGTCAGGATGAGAAACCTCACATTTCTTTATGCATTGTGTACTCGGATGATGCAAAGCAAGTGAAAAAAGAGCTTCAATTTCTGTCCTAAAAAAATGCCTTTCTGGGTCCACAATCCCACAGTAAGTGTAATGATGACAGACCCCTGCACTTGTGCTAAACTCCTTGCAGAACTGGAGTCTAAAGAGGGGACATAGAGAAGCCAGGACAATGCTTAGATATCTTGATGCAAGGGAAATATGTGATTGGTTTTAATCAGTTCTATAAACTCACTCAAGTACCTCCTGAAAGACTTTGTCTCCCTCCCCACATCCTTTTTTTTAAAAAAAGGGATCTCAATGAAAAAAAAGCAGTCAGCTCTTGGAAGAACAATCCATTTCTTGCTTTTTTGTTTCCCATGTCATCAGCATTCATGATGGCCAGAGCGTGCTGTATTTGGATATATAAAAAGTGTAGGTACACCCGTACTGTAGCCCATAGCAATACAGCAAGAAAATAATTAGCCCATGTAGGAATCGAGCAAAATGGGCCCAGACTGATTCCTCTGTGGAGGAACATCACGTTATTGTGAGTAGGCTGCCTGTGCTACATTCCCAATATCCCTTCAGGAAGCAATATGCCTGAAAGTGTTGATGGAAGGAGACAGACACTAATTTCTTCAGTGCTTTCCAAATGTGCTACAATGGGTTCTCCCTCATACCAGGCAGCTGAATTCACAAGAACTGAGTTTAAAGGGAGCATACAGGAAGGACTTGTCAGGAGTAACAGTATGACTTGCCAAATTGAGCTATACGCATGCGGAGTTCTCAGCCCCCAGTAACCACTAACATGGAATATACAAATTATTGCTCTACAAGAAACACATCATAATCCCATTTCAGGTTTCTAGAAGATGAGAGAAAACAAGTTATGTTATTAAGAGGATAAGCTAAATGACAATCACAGTTGAAGAAATGGAGAAGGACATGTAATTATTCCTACCTTGCCATTGCTATGCCAACAACACAACCTCCAACTATAGACCAAAATCCAATCCAGCCTGCATCTACCTGACAGGAAAAACAAAACAAAGAAATGTGTTAAAGCTGAGAAAATAAGATGATAAGACGTTACTTTCAAAACAAATGGTGTGCAGGAGCTGCAAACTGCTAGCAACAGCCCCCAACAACAATTTGAAGTGCAAGACTTTCTCTAGGATATTCAAAAGGAAATAAATTCACTAAAACAAAGTATGACTAAGTAGTCTATGCTCTAAATGTGACATCTCTTTATAGAATCTGAGTAATGTCCTCTGGATTTTTATAATACTCTATCAAAAGCTTAGAAATCCTCTTCTCCCCACTTCATCTTTCCCACCTGGTAAACATTACTTTCTTTCACTAAAGGTGCAGCAGCCAACAATAGTCCCGTTTGTTTACCTGCCTCCTTCTTTTTGTCAAGAGGTGTATACGATTGTGAAGAGTCAGCAGGGAGAACTGCAACAGTTTGGGATACCAAAACTACAGTTTATTTTATTTAAAATTTCAGGAGAAAAGTGGTCCGTGTGTATTAATAGCAGCTTAAACATAAAAACCTGATAAAATTGTATGCTAGTGCAAAATACAACATATTAACATAAATACAAACTTACAAAATAGTTGCTGATTATCAGTCAGGAGATACTTACTTGGCTTACATGAACTGGTGTTAATATCAAATCCAGAACGCCAGACCAGCCAGAGAAAACACCCAGTGGTATAGCATAGGCTAAAGCAATCATCAAGAATCGGAAATTGCTGTGAAGACAAAACATATGCAATTAGCTGCAGCTTATGTTAGAAATTGCACTAAGATTAGCTGCTAGAGTAAATGACACCCTAGAATCTACATTCTGCCCATCAAGAAAAAAAAGCAGAGGTCTGAAGGAGGAGTGAGCCAGGAAAAACAAGGTAGGTATCCGGCCATGTCACTGAAATTCCAGTGGCTGAGATGTTACTGCCTTACCACTTGATAATAAAAAAGCCAGTCTCTCCACATAGTTCAAAGATTTTTGTAACGTGCTGGGCTCATGTGCTTCTCATTTCTGCAAGCAATTCTTCCATGCATTTGCATGGGCAACCTACTTAGCCTAAGTGTATGTTAGGAACAATAAGCATTAATTTAAATGGCAAAAAGCGTATTTCAAGAATAGAATCAGAGATTCATACTTTTTGAATTTTTTTTTTTTAACTGTTTTACTGCTCTTTATTTTGGTGAAAGGCAGGGAGAGCTCTGGGAATGAGTTGCAAGAGTGGAAAATTTTGACAGTTTGAACTGTCAAAAAACAGAGACAAGCATAATATTCTGCTCTAAATAGTCAACGTGTTTGATTTTTCCTCCCAATTAAAAATTATTCAACTTTTAGTATTCAAGTGAAGATGAAGCAGTCAAAGCTGTGTCATCATTTTCATTGTACACAGCTAAACAGGAGTTGGCAGACAAACACCACCACCAATTTCCCCTACCCACCCACCGTTACCAAAAGCAAATGCAAAGTCTTTGCTAAGAAATATCCAACTTTTCCTCAAAAATGTTTCAATTTGGGAATAAAAACAGAAAATATACTTTGGACTCTGCAACAGTGATATTTTAAAGTGAAGAGATTTTACAACAATCCCAAGGTTATCCCATGGGATATCTGTGTAACCACAAAACGTGGCTCCCCACCATTCCCAAACAATGTACATAAAATGGATCCTGATCAGTACCAGTTCCTTGGCATGCAGTGGCAACTTGATAGCACATAGTTATGAAAGCCAAGAGGGAGGAAAAGAGCTTCAAATACTCTCCAAAACATTCAGAGGTTTGCAGCTTACGCTGTTTTACTCCCCTAGAAGATTCCACACACAGCACACCAGCCAGTGTTTTTTTGCACTGTTCTTTTTCACACATCCTCTTCTTGAATAACACATTTCTATCACATGAACATATCCTCCTCTTTCAGTATCATTCATATCAGATTTAATTTTTAATGCAATGAAAAACAACTCCCAAACTTTCAGCTCTTCCACACACTGCTTATATTTCTCTGAATGCTAAAGTGTCTGCTGTCTTCCTGACAACTATTTTTCTCTCTTAAGAATGCCATACTCTTATCCTAGTCTATCTTGTTTCATCTTGGCATGCTTTAAGGCAGGTTTTCTGATGCTATTTAGCACTATCCATGTAAAAGCTAATTCAACATCTGTAAAATAAAATAAAAGGGAGAGCGCCCATTTTGCACAGACATTATATACAGCCATGTCATAGACTGGAAAGAGAGAACAAGTCTGAATGCACTGTTCCAAAATAACAATTGCTCAATATTCAAAATCTTTGGGTATCTGAACCTCATCTTCATTATAGCTACTTTTGGTGGGAGTGAGTACTTTGTAACTTACTTGACTGAGCTCTCCTGTGCTGTATTTGTCTTCTGTAACTCAAGCAACAAGACAGACTGGCCCAAGGGATAACTGCTCTATGCCATGTCCAACGCCTAGTCCCAACACTAGAGAACCAGTTCTGCATCATGACATCCTTCAGTGACAGAGGCTCCCATGCTGCCACCCTGCCTAGTCTCCAGATTAAAGAAGGTGACCAGGAGAAAGAAGACCAGTGACAAACCAGCACTGATCACCAGATGGCATTCTCTCCCCTTGTCCAGCTGGCTACATCAAGTGCTAAAGCTATTTGCAACATACATCTTAAGCAGAAGCTCTGCTTTTCATGGCTCCAGTCACTTGTATTTGTTTTTGCAATTTTGCAATTGCTCCACTGAAAATAGAAAAATGTGCTGTCTGTCACACCACCAGTTGATGAACCCACACTGTTTTCCATCGTATCAGCCCTTATGACAGGATATCAGCGTTAGCCTCTCTGTTAAACCATTCTGCTGGAATACCAATTGGCTTTTTCTTCTGTTTTTTGTTTTTTGTTTTTTTTTTCAGAAACCTACTTAACACCACTAGGATCTGTAAGACAGGCTGGTTCAGAGGGGAGCCCCATCAAAGCCAGTCACCATTTTCAGAATAACTTTGACAGCACCTATTAACATCAGGCACACTCTGGGTAGCTTCCATCACTGGATGGTGATGTCATAGGAAAGTTTCATTAAAGAAATCATGATGCACAAAACCCCTGTTACGAAATTTCAAAATTGCTTACATAGTCCCTTGAAAATATAAAAGGCAGGTAACTGGCTAAAAGCATCTAATTACTTCAAAGCAAAAATCATTACATGTTTTCTTAATGCAGATTTTAAGTCTTATCAACTATTTACTTGTATTAGAATTTTTTCCATGGAAATCTGTGGCATATTCTGAAATAGAGGGGGGAAAAAAAAATAAAAAAGAAGTCATATTTGCTTCACCCAAGAAACTGAGAAAGGGCACTGTACTTTTTCTAATGGAAATTCAAACTACACTTTTCACAGTGTGTGATAGACTGTTAAAAGATTTGGGCTTAGCTCCCAAACCATGACTAATCTCTCGTCTCCCACTGCAGGCTGAGAGAGTTGGCATCAGGAGATAACCACACATCAGCTAATGGTTATAATCTGTCAGAAGCAGGAATCCACCCAATCAGGAGGAAGAACCAAGTTCCTAAGCAAGTCCCAAAAGAAAACAGCCTACAGGCGATGGCTGACCCTAAGAAGATATGTATAATACAAGTCTGCAGGAAGCAGGTCATGAAGATGACTGCTCAAGGACCTGAAGGCATGAAGGAGTATGGGAGTTGCAAGGATGTGACAGATCCCTTTCACATCCAAGGAAAAAGGTCAATGACTTCAATGGTAAAGTTATGCTACACAGCTTTATTTTGAAGTAGTAAGACTGCAGCCTGGGGGAGAGAAGAGGGAAATTATGAACATCTCAATTCTCATGAGTGCTTTTTGGTGCATAGGTGGATCAGCCCACCAGCTCACACACATCCTAAAAGCCTTACACACAGTTCTTATACCAGAGGGTAAGTCTGCAATAAAGGGAAATCATGATTCCTGGTACTCGTCAGCTGACTACCTTCAGTATACACCATTAAGTCAAAAGAAAGCCTCTCTGTGCCAAGAATTATGAAGCCTAGATTAGGCAGGCAACAGAGCTTAGAAGCCTAATGAACCAGATGATGGATTTCTCTTGAAGCACGGCAGATACCATTTCCTTTTATAAAACCCCCTTGGCTTGATGGATAGTTGCTGAAAGGCTCCCCAAGATAAGTGGGTTTAATGATGAACTGTTGATTGTTTCATGTACAGAGGAATGAAGAAGTGCCTTTGATAAAGGGTAGCATGGAAGAATGCATAAAGACCAGAGGGAAGGGAGATATAATGATCTACCTGACCGCATTTTAAAAAACCCTCTTGGTTCTTGGAGACACTATAAACTATGCTCATTATTTAAGCGTCCAGTTTGTTTTCTTAAGTTTCATTGATTGTGAATTGTAAGCCAGCTTTGCTGTTTACCTCTTGACCTTACCAGTACCTCAGGTTCACTGTTTACAACACTTTGAACAAGGAATCTAATGATTATAAAGCTCCCAAATGGAGTACTGTCAAGAGAAATTTTATATTTCACCTGCGGAGTCAGTTGATGTTTGGATTTCTGTTCAACAGCAACATTTTTACAACACAGCCCTCAGGCAGGGTCTCACCACACACCAGCTTGGGTACATAACAGCATTATTGTGTGTGCTAAGCATCCTTATGGGAATTGCTATTTTTTAATATCCTGAGTAGGTCACTTTGCAGACTAACCAGCCAGCTGTACTCACACCTTTTCCCAAATGCTAGCCTGCTCCAGGATGAACACACAGGATTAAGCATCTTGTCAACTATTCACTCCCCCAAACTGAAACAAAAGCCTCCAAAACCAAAAGAAAAACAACCCAATGACAAGGGATGAGTTGGTTTTGCTGGCTCTAAATACACTTTTAGAAAGTACAGCCCACAATAGGTCTGTAGTAACTAAACACCTTAAGCTCCATAATTATCAAGTTTCAAGGAGCCCTGTGTACGCAGATTCAGCTTCTATCACTGTATGACCCAAGAAACCACTGCATTGAAGTTCCCCAGTGAAGTCAGCCATACTCCACACCACAGGAGCTGTTCTTTGCCCCAGGAAGTTCCTCTGTACAGTATCACATACAGGGCACAGCCCTTCACAATTATTCAGCATTAATATTACAGGTGCTTTAGCTACTCCTCTGAGATCAGATTCCCATCACACAAGACATTGTACCAACACTGCGGGGGGCAGGACTGTGTCTTACCAAAAAAGCCCATGTGAGAAAAGTTGCAAAGTTGGAGATGTCACTTTCTTTATAACCTTTTTTTTTTCTCAAAACATCAAAATTTAAAGGAAACTAACTCACCTTTGAACCTGTCCAGAAACACATCTGGAGACACTTCTATTTACACTTCATATTTTAAACATACAATTAATGAGATTTAATAGATCATATAATGGTGTCAGATAGCTCATTCATTGTTCCTGCAGCTGAATACTCCATTGAATGACAAGCAAACTCCAAGTTCATTCCAATATAATAAGCACAGAAGAAAGCAGCTTATTAGTTAGTTATGCCCAATGCTGTTAATTGTTGTCTCCCACCTTGCAGTACGCACACTGTTAACAATCTTGTATAACCTGATGTAACAGAAGCATTGCATAAGAAAAGCTGTGCTAACAGGATGACTAAAGCAGTGTTGGTGCTGAAGGACGCTGGCATGAAGACTTGAGATATACTCAAGGATTTAAAATTTATTGTCTGCTTTTTAGCAGTTAGCATCCTTTTATGTCTCAGCATTAATATTTAATTTTATTTTGTTTAAGAGCATTACAAACCAACTTGTTTGCTCAATGAGAAGATTAAAGCACACTTGTTTTTATTTATTTATTGATGCTTTGAAGTGGAAACCCAGTGAGGACCTACCTTAAGAGTCTGCAAAAACTTCTCCTGTAGCTGAGTCGTTGACTCGCCGCAGCCACGCTGGGAGGGAATGGAGGGCGCGAGGGGAAGTAGGCCAACGCTGCAGAAAAGATCAGGGAAACCATTCCAAATTCTAAACAAGAGGGCAAAGAAAAACAAAACTGAGAACAAATGTTAGCATCGAAAGACTTACTTTGGTACAGCATTGTTATCAGCCAGCCTCTGATACATAAATCCCACCACAAGTGCTTTAGTGCTCCCAACAACAGAACTCCATAACTTGAAGGAGAACTTCTTTTTTCCTCCCCAAGCAAGACTTCAAATTGAGATGGAGAACCAATGAGATGGAGAAACACTGGCAGTCCATTCCAGTGACAGAAGCTGCAGAGAACCAGGCTTATACATGGGGAACTCAGTGAAGCAAGAGGAAAGCTTTTGCTTTTTCTCTTTAGAGAGAACCGCATTACGAAGATTTGGCCACATTTCCTCGCCATGGAAGTAATGCAGTGCAGGTAATAGCGTGCTAGAGACTTTAAACAGATGGGACTGGGGAAGCCCCAGGGCATGGAATGACAATTACTCAGCGCACAGGATGATGAAGGCAAACGAAAGGTCAAGCAAGGCAGCATCTCAGACACAAACAGTATTGCATGGCAACAGAATATAAAGAGAAAAGTGTAGGAGCAGCCAATGCTCAGGAATAGAGAGAGTACGGGTAATAGGGAGAAAAAAGAAAGAATACAGCTGTTTGCAGGTGCTCCTCTTGTTTAGCAGCAGGTATTCTAGATCTTTGAAAAATTTCATAGCAGAAATTTGGACTTGAACTTGCGAAGTGACAAGCACTTCACAGAAAATACTCAGCAAGCCCCATGATCAGACATTCTGATGCCACAGTCAGTCTAATTAATTTGTTTTACAGGCCTTTTACAATGTATATCATGTTCTCCACAGTCCTCAATCCCAGTATTTCTCCTATCCCCTTTGAAAACAAGATTCTTTGCTGCTAGAGAGAAAAATGTATAGCTGAAGTGTGTTATCTTAAAAGAACCTGTGATCTTGTAACAAAGTGTTCACCAACACCACAAATAAATTCCAGCAGAGCTGGATACTCAATTGTGTTCATTTTCTTTTTTCTTCTCCTTTTTAATAAATCAATATGAACATGGCATTTTGCCAGCTCTTCTGCTAAACCAGAAGAAAATAAATTCAGGAAACTGAAAAGTAAATAACACTCGGAGTCTAAATGGATCAGCTGGAGATGGGGAAGGGAAATTAATGCTTCTATTTGGTATACAGAAAAAAAGTCTACACTAAATTTCTTTTGAAGGCATACCATAAATGCAACAATGCCATTCTTCAGGATCAAATACTAAAGGATTCATTTTGAATTACATGGTGTCTCTTTTTCCTGCTGTGGTCTAATTGCACGTTTCGAGGGTCAAGGGCACTTTAACTAGACCTTCTTACTATATCTCCTCTGTTCTCCAGAAAACAGATTAATTTCTATCTTTGTGTACATTGGTTTTGAGACCATGAGCAGTGAATAAAGAACTGGTCGTAACTGATCATCCCAGACCTAAGAAAGAGATGAGATGCTCTGTCACCAAAGGATGATATTGTACAGGGAAGCAAGACTTGCCAAAAGCTGTTAATCCCCTTCTCCTGCATGTAGGTCTACATATAGGTTTATAGGTATACATATGTACATGCATACGCATGCTTTAATCACATATTAAAGGAACATTTCAGACTGCAGACAGGTATAGCCAACAAGAACATGACCACACAAAACCATAAACTTTGTTTGAGGTGCTTATTATTTAACTTCATTACACTGGAATGCCATAAGGAGAAAGGCTAGGTCTTTCTCTAAAGAATGTAAAACATGTTTATAATTTTTTTAAGTCACAGTAATATTTTATAACCGGTGCCCATCTGGGGCCTCTTCTGTGGGCTGTCTCAAGATTCCTGCCAGTCAAATAGCTGCAGTAGGAGCAGTATAGTAACACTTTTTTTTTTTTTTTTTTAATTATTAAATTCAGCATGTGGTCCTTGTAGTACCTTCTTGCAACTCTTTATGTTTCCCAGTGTTACGCTTTCCAGGCTAACAAATTTGCCTTGCAAGCACTGCCCTCATGCACAAAGGAAAAGAACAGAATTCACTTTGGTAACTAAAGCAGCTCCCTCTAATTGAAGAATAAAAGTCTTTAGTGCCATCTTAGCTTTGTATCACACTTGCATCCCTATCAAAAGTCCAGGTACTGGCAAACACATCCTTTTCTTACATGTTGCATTGTTGCCTCATTAGGAAACCCACACCTTTATCTCCATCATCATTTACTCTACCAGACTAGATAAAGAAAAATACATTCCCAGGACAAGTTTTAGATTGTAAGCAGGGAATAAAAGCAAGCAAAAGATAAAAGGTAAGAAATAGGTCAATAATGAGACCGAGAAAACTGCAGTCACAAAAAAGGAACTCTTCCACGGGAGCTGACTACTGGCTTTTCAACAGTGCAATGGACGCAGCAAAGCACTCACAATTGGACAAGTCAGAGTAAATTAGTGTGCAGAAATACAGCCGTGTATATGTCTTGCTGAGGAGTAAATCTGGAATGCTTCACAAAAGCTGGGTACCATCCCACAGTGACCTCTGACTGTCAAGGTGGACAGCTGCCTACCTCTTAGTCTAGGAAGTAGGCACGCTGCCTCTGCAAGCCCCAAACAGAAAAAAAAAAAGAGGTTTACAGCAGCACAAGCCTCCTTCATACAGTCTTTTTTCTTCTGATAGGCTACTCATAGCACAAAAACCTACCCAAAATCAGATTCTACTCTCCATCTTTTCCTGAAATGTAAAGGGGGAATGAGGGCACTTTACACACACACACACTTTTTTAAAACAAACAAACAATGATTTTATATTGATATTTAGGAAAGCACACAGCTAAAAAACTCTGGTTGCAGTCCAGAATAATTCAAGCTTCCTTATGCGGTTCAGGTAATACAATTCAATCCTGATTTGCTGCATCTGTACTATTTCAGCTGTGAACCAGAACGTGCAGAGACGCAGATGACACAGAAAGAGGCTGTGGTAATTTAGCTGAGCTCTTAGTCCACGTTTGAGATAAAGGAACAGCAATTTATTAAAACACAGAAGAGACTGGAGTTAACTGAGCAATTTCAGAGTGGGTTTATAAGCAATTGCTTTGTAATCATGTTTGAGGTTAAGTCCTTGGAAAATTAGCACACTCTTGGCATGCTACTGATCCCAAGTTACCAATTCACATCATTACAGTCTTTTAAGAGTCATCACCTAACTTTTGGAGGCTGCTTATCTAATGCTACCTCACACAACAGCAACAAACTCCACTACAAACACAACTCCAGAGTGCTTAGCTTGTGAAACTGGTTTTCCCATAGCATCTGAAAGGAAAAGTTCTACCATGCCCAACCACACTTGCTAAAGAAGTGGGCAAGTGGGACACTTGGATCCAACTCCTTCTGCCACATTCTGTAACGCCTTTATGAGTAATTAGTGAAGTCAATTGGAGCTTTGTTTTCTGCCCAGCTGATTAAGGGGACAAACAGTACCCTTCCACACCTATTAGGTATTGTTTGGTCCACAGGTGAACAGAGCTGTACAACTACCCTGAAGCAGTTGCCCACCACAAGGCAGCCTTTCTTCCACCTTTGGAGCCTACACAGGGGAGGCAGAAAGGGGGGACCGTGCTCCTTCAGCTCTCTGGCGAAACAGGGCTGAGGTGAGACACGACAAATCCCACAAAGGATTCAAGACAACCTCCTCTTGGGAAAGTTCCTACCAATTTTAAACCAGTTGAACGTCTTGCCACTGTCACGGCAATTCTCCTCAGGCCAGTAACATTCAGGAACTAGGTTTTTTTCATTGTCCGAACAGCCAAAGGCGTTGCTGCTCCTGAAAAGACGCACCCCACACAAAACAACCACAACTGCACAAAGAAATTAGCTCTGTTCAAAGCACTTTCAAATACTAAGAACTACAGATGCCCCACAACACACATTTCCTACAAAGCTGAAGAGCTGCTGTAGGATCATCTTATGCTGGGACCAACGATCCCAAACAGGTCTATGGGATGTCTGAAAACCCTTGCCAGCTGAGAAAGGCAGAAAGAGCCATGCTGAGACATGGGGCTGGCAAGACACGCCTCTGAATCTTGGTGGCAAGCAACATACATCACAGTTTTTGAAGAAAATGCTTAGGAAAACCTCCCAGTAGAGAAAGTTAATCTAATGGGCTGCGGAAAGCAACATTTCTGGTGCTACTAGACTCAAAACAGTGGTTTTAGGCACAAAACTGTATTGCCTTCAGCTGGATGAATTATTCCCTCTCCATGGAAAATATGGAGAGGGAGAGCTAAAGCGCTTCTCTAATCGCTAGATTTTTTCTTCCTCTTATCTACTGCTCCTCAGGACAAAAGCTGACTTGCCTTCGTTTTTCCTTCTTTCACACTGGCCATTTTCATCTGCCATGAGATCTTTGGAATCTAACATCATATTTACCTCTGAAAAAGGCATAACCAAACCCGAATTTCCTTGTTGTTCCAATACATTTGAGTCCAGTAATAAGTGGGTTACTCAAAAATACGTGTTGAAATAGTGACCCAACTTCTACTACACTTTCTTTAAAACAAACAGTAAAGTGGTCTTCACCTAAGAGGAGTATTAACTCGATAGAATTTCCGTAAGAATACCGTCCAGGAATAAATGATCACAAACAGCTAACTCAGTCCCATAAACCTGTATATAAACTACACAGTATATATACTTTAAGACTCCTGGAACACTTAGGGCTAACTCCTGGCTAAATTTCAGATGCTGCAATTATAAGAGCGGGGAAAAAAAAAACATGACATGGTAAAGTTCAGCTGCTCTTAATGCTATAGCAATTTATATCCACTAAGAATCAGATCGTAAGACTCTTAAGCCACTTAAGCAACTCTTTTTCCTTAAAGCTTGCTGCTAATTTTGGTAAATGACAAAGAGCCATAGAAGCCATTGCATGAAAAAGAGCAAGGACATAAAATCTAAGTTGTATCAGGTGAATTTTATATCAGTGTTTTTTTCCACTAAACTGTTGATGCTTTATTGAAATTGATCACTACATAAGAATTAAGCGGTTCTAGTTAAAAACAAAGTCTATTGAGTTTTAATTTCAGTGTTAGATTCTTAAATGCTAATAATCTAATCACATGTGAAGGCAGATGCAAGTCAAATTAAGGCTGCTTAATGCAGGGAACAATTTAATGCAGGAAAGAATTTCATGCTGAAAGACTACTGGATTTCCATCCTTACAGAAACAAAAGGAAAAAAATCCAACCTGTCATGGACACATTTTTAAAATGAAAATTCAAGAAGCAAAAACCACTTTGGAAACCTCAAGGAAGGTGTAAGGTCTCCTAAGATCAGCCAATACAAACAACTAAAATACTTAATTTGGCATCAGTCTGTACAAAAGGCTATGTTTAAATCTCTCCTACATAAAAGGAAAAAAAAAGTTAACCCTTCTGATGGTACAACATTCTACCACTTCATTATTTTCCATCAGCCATTAACTGCTTTCTGTGCAGACCAGCCACTAGAGGGTAGTGGTTCACAAGTACCAAACATGCACATGAAAGTATGTAGATTTGTTATACTTTTTTTTTTCTTTTTTTTCGCATTTTAAACCACACCTGCATACAGCACAGCCTCAATGCGGTCCTTGATGTGCTCTGTGTTGCTCTGCGATACCAGCAGGAGGTGAGATGTTCCATTAGGAGACGGCACTACAAGAGGTCCCACTAAAAAAGCTCCCGCAGCACCCAAGTAATTGAGCAGCGATGCGATGGCTGTTGCTGTGGCACGTTCATCTGGAGAAAACCACGTCGTGGAAAGAAATGGTGCTGCATTCATCACAGTTGGCCCCGCCAAGCCATTTAACAGTTGCCCTCCGTGAATCAGCCTGGAATAGAAAATAGACACCACAGTCATTTGGATGACGATTGCTTGCTTTTTTTGGTTTTTTTGTTTGGTGTTTGTGGGGGTTTTTTAGTTAAAAAAGCATGTAAGATATTGAGTGCTGGAGATGGAGCAATTGCACAAAGAAATCAAAGTCCTATGCAAAAAAAATGATATTCTATGTACTAAAAGAAGCCCAATTAGACTGATTTAAAGAATTCAGAGCTACTCTGTTCTCATTAGCTCAGATAAATGGAGAAGCAAATGTTCTCTTCAAAGCAGAGGGGGAAAAGAGAGGAATAAAAAGACAGAATAGAAGGGACTTTCTTTGCAGAAAAAAGGTATCGTGATAGGATATAAAAGTAGAAAGGTGTAGTAGCAGGAAAGCTTTAAATGACAAATGCCTTAAATCTGACCCCTTGCCTGCATAAATCCCAACAGAAAATTTAAATTAGTTATGGCAGATCCAAAATTGAAACACTTCAGCAAAATACTCTGCATATTTTTTCACTGCATTATTTATTTTTATTTACACACTCAGATGAGCTCTATGTGCCTACAGATGAGGAGGCCGGGCTGTTGAGGTTTCCAAGAGAATCGTCTTCTCCAGCAATCTGGCCATTCTCAACATTCTGTTGAAACAGCCAAGCAAACCCAGATTTTTGTCATTTTTCACACTCATTGGGATTTAACAGATAAGGCTGGTGACAGAACAGAGAGAGTACTTCCAAGTAGTGAAGTCTCTGCAAACTTTGGCTTAATATTAGCACAATAAGCACATACAGGAAGGACTTTCTGAAGACTCTTCTACATGTGGAAGTCAGCCAGAAACCTTCCACTTTGACTTTTCCAAAAAGTGATCAGCCGTGAAAGGCAAAAGCATTTTGGAATTTATATAAAAACTTCATGTCTAAAAAACAGCTAGTGAGTCAAACAAAACATTACAACCTTCCAAAGTAGATCTATCCATTGTGCAATAAAATGGTGGCAGATGATATTTTTAAATGGGTGGTGTTTTTCTAAGCATAGCAGGAACTCGATGTTATTGCTGCAAGACTTGAGTTGTCAGACATAAAAAGCTACGGCCCGAAAATGGGGAAACATAAGCTAGCATTTAGGCAATGTTTCAAGCCACAAATGGCTGAATAATATACAGTGTAGAAGGAGGTTTTTTAAAGCACACAAAGGAACAAAATATGCAAAAGAAATGCTGACAGACTCTATCAAATTAACAAGCTAGATTGCAATAAAAAGGAATAGATGCTACTGATTGTCAGTGGATTAGAAATTAATTTTTAAACAAAATTTATAAAAATATACAGGAAAAAAAAGCAAAAGCTAATAGATATCAACTTAAGGAAATACTTTCCAAGCTAGGACAGCAGTAATATCCACTC